CTTAGGGACGACTCCTGGTGATGCTCTGGGGACCCTGTGGGGGGTGCTGCAGATTGAATCTGGTTCATCTTTGTGAATGGTAAATCTCCCCCCTCCCCCCCCCCCGCAACACACACACACACACACACACACACACACACACACACACTCCGCTATGGTTTTAGCCCCTGGACTGGACTGGCCTTATGTATGCGCCAAGCCCTTTTGTCATTTTGCCCCTTCACCCATGTATATGGTTTGTATGTCCATGGTGATCATGCTGTGTGGCCTTCCCACAGGTCCTCTGGCTGTTTACATGGCCTGTTTGCAGATTATTGTCTTAGAAAAGTGTTTCCTCATGTGAAATGTAAAGCCCAGCTGTTAGATTTTGGGCTGCCCTTGGGGGGTATCTGAGACCTTGGGTTCCTCTCCGCTGTCTTGTAGCTTGTAGCTGTCCTGGAGGTGTGGTCTGGAGGTGCACTCAGCATTGTTCCTCTGCCACCAGAGCAGAGCTCTTCGTTAACACCTGAGTTGCAGGCAATACAGTTAATCCATCCCTGAGACTGAACCCAGCAGAATCTCTGACTAATCCACATACATGTTCATCACGTCTATGCCGTGGAAGCCCAGTTTTCTTCCCAGGCTGGCTTTGAAGATTTCTTGACCTGTCTTGAAGGTTTCTTGATTTCTTCCCCTGAGAGTCAGAGCTGAAATGGGAGAGTTTCAGACCCCTTAGCACGTGGCCTTGTGCTGTGTTTAGCTTCAAGGAATTATTTTGATAGCTGACTTTCCTCATTTTTCCTTTCCTCTCTCTGAAATAATTTCTCAGAGAGTTAGCAGAATCTACAGTACCAGAGTCTTTTGTTTTGAAGTAGATTTAAAAGATCGAGCACTGGGAGCCCGGGAGATGGTACAGGGTGAATGGTGCTTTTCTTGACGGCGATTGACTCTTACTTGGGTCTCTGACACCACCGATGCCCCACAAGCACTACGAGGGATCACTCCTGAATGTTGACTAACCCTGAGTACCGTGCATGCAGCTCCAACCCTCCCGAAAGTTTTTTTTTTTAAAAGTTTGATTTTTTTATTATTATTATTATTATTATTAGATTTTTTGGTCACACCAGCAATGCACAGAGGTTACTTCTGGCTTTGCACTCAGGAATTATTCCTGGCGGTACTCAGGGGACCATATGGGATGCTTGGAATTGAACCTATGTACAAGGTAAATGCCCTACCCGCTGTACTCCAGCCCCCCTCCCGAAAGTTTTAAGCTTTGATTTTTTTTTTCAGGTTGGAGGGAGTTGGGTCATACTGGTGCTCAGGGGCTACTCCTGGCTCAGGGGACCGTCAGCAGTTCCAGAAATTGAACTGGAGTTGGTGGTATGCACGACGGGCACTTTACCTTCAGCGTTTCTCTAACACTGATTTTAAAGAGTTTAGGGACCGCTCTGTATTGTTCTTTTCTCTAGGATTAGAAGGGCTGTGGTTTACATGATTGCGGGGGGGGGGGGGGGGGGCGGGGACTTGTACCTTCAGTTTACAAATTATTGAAGTTTGGGCTGGAGTGATAGCACAGCGGTAGGGCGTTCGCCTTACAAGCAGCCAACATGGCCGACCCGAGTTCGATTCCTCCGCCCCTCTCGGAGAGCCCGGCAAGCTACCGAGAGTATTCGATATGCCAGACACAGTAACAACAAAGTCTCCAATGGAGACGTTACTGGGCCCGCTCGAGCAAATCGACGATCAACGGGAGGGCCTTTACCTTTACCTTTACCTTTAATTTAAAAAAAATTTTTAGACATTTTACTGAATTCCAAGCAATTCCTCCTCTCCTGAGAACGCTACTACCTTATTCAGGGCCTCGTGTATATTAATATTTGAATATGAGCATTCCCTTTGTAGCCATGATCTCTATAGCTAGCTCTGGCCTAGAAGGAAATTTCACAAAAAGCTGCTTTGTTCAGGCTGAACATGTCACCAAGTGCAGGACTTCATCAAAAACAAATCATTTTTGCCAGATCTAAGCAGAAAATTTGACTTGGTTTTAAAATCTTAATGTAAAGTGCTTTCATGTGTGTTGATATGGTAGGTAATCACATGATGTTAGGCCTTAAAGATTTTCTCTTTGGTTTCAGAGACACGCTCATGCTTAGGGGTCACTCCTGGGACTGTATTTGGTGCCAGGGCTGGCCTGGGGGTTGGCAGCGTGCAAAACAAGCGCCTTAACAGCAGTACCCTCTCTTGGGCTCCTTTATTCTCTCCTGCATTTGTAAGAAACCCTTTTGACTTCACTTTGAAAATACTGTCACTGTCCTCCTGTTGTTCATCGATTTCCTCAAGCAGGCCCAGTAACACCTCCATTGTGAGACTTGTTGTAACTGTGTTTGGCATATCGAATACGTTCCGGGTAGCTTGCCAGGCTTTGCCATGCGGACGAGATACTAATTTCTGGAACTTGTGTGGAAACTCTTTGATGCCCACACTGAAGTCTTTTCTGGTTGGAGAGGGAGCTCAGCTTGCCATGGTCTCCTGGGCACTGCCAGAGGGGACCTCCCCACTCCCAATGATTTTCACCTACATTGGCAGAACAAAACAATCCCAGAGAGAGAGGGGGGGTGGAGAGAGAGAGAGAGAGAGAGAGAGAGAGAGAGACAGAGTCAAGGCTAGGTTGCTTTTTAATCCTTGATCTAGGTGACAATCCTAGGAAAGTACCTTTTCGTTGCTGAAAACTGCTGTGGTGCCTTTTGTACTGTATCACCCCACCGCTGTCTCACCATGGTTTCAGCCACGTCACTGCTTAAACAGTGATGCAGTGATGCATCTCACGCAGGAGGACTCAGGAGTAACCCAGGTGGCTGGACTGAGTGCTGGTTCCACCATGCCACTGGGCGGCTGGTGGCTGCTGGGGAGGAAAAGGAAGGTGCTTTCTTGCTCTGCAGTAGACTAACTGGAAAGCATGAGGCTCCCTCCTGGCCAGGCTTCCCTGGCTTGCTCCCCGGCAGAGATGAGTGTATTGAGTGAAGCTCCCTGCATTTCCCCTGAGACTCCCCAGAGCATGTCCTGTAAATGTTTCTTCATGACAAGAGGTTTATCTCTTTCTACAGTCCTGGGACTCAGGGTTTCTGCATTTGGTCTTATCAGCAATTAGAGACTCGGGAGTAACCAAAAAATAGCCCTGACTATTGAACAAGCATGCCACAACCGAGACTTCTGGGTGAGAGAGTGCCCATCCAGATCCCCTGGGAGGCCATGGACTTCCTTTAGCAAGGCGGCATTGCACAGTGTGCTTGGTGTCCCCCTTCCTTTCTCTCTCTCCTGTCTGCTTTCCTCTCTCTATGCATTTCTTCTTCCCTTCTTCCCTCCCACCTTCTCTTCCTTCCTCATTTAGTGGTGCTTCGAGTTCAGGGTTAGGATGGGGTAGCCCTTGGTGCCAGGGATGGAAGAAGCTCCATCAGTTTCTCTACCAAGGTGTATGAATCCCCTCTTACCCCCAGCTCTTCCTCCTTAGCAAACCCAGTTCTGCAGGCAGACCTCGGGGCTGTGACCATTAGCTGCTGCTGTTTCTTTCTACTCCGTGTGGGTCTCTGTGGCTTCTTTGACTCATTTCGCTGAGCCGATGCCCTGCAGTTGCATCCAAGATGCAGTTGCATTGACAGCAAGTGCACAGTTCATCTTTCCTTACAGCCCAGTAGTGATCTGGGATGGACACGTGCTGCTGCTTCTCTGTCCACCCCTCTTGGGACACTCTGGGTGTTTTCAGAGCTTGGCCACGGTGAGCAGAGATGTGATGAACATGCAGTGCCAGTGCTGTTTGGAACTCAAGCTCTTGTGTCCTTGCGATAGATACCTGTGAGTGCAATCACTGGGAATTGTAGAAGCTCAATTCTTAAATTTCTGAGCCATCTCCAGGCAGTTTTCTGTAGAGGCTGAACCTAAGTGACACTCCCAGCAGCAAAGGCCGAGGATTTCTTTCCCTGCACGGGCCTCTTTCTCCCCATGTCCCTCCACGCCCGACCTCTTCCTTAGCCACGTCCCTGGCCCCAGACACTTGCTCTGACTGCATCTGGAGTCTTACTGATTGTAGATCATTAGCTTAGAAGGACAAAGCAGCTTACTAAACTCTTAGGAAGTTCTGCGAGTTACTCTGAACCCCACGTGGCTGATTGTAAAGGGGAGCGGATAGTTGGACAGCCTCATCTCATTTGGTTAAAATGAGATTTGATGTGTTCATGTGGGTTTCTATGTTCTAGAAGCAGTCTGGGAAGATGTTCTATGGTTATTTTGAAGAAGAGAAGTGGCATGAAAATAAGTACTGTCTAAGAAAGTCTTCAGAAAGGGAAAGAAAGAGCTACCAGACAGCTTAGGGAATGGGGGAGAGGGGGAATGATAGAGTTTGCTTTCCATAGGATTTAATGTTAGGCTCTTGGTTCTTTTTTTTTTAAAGGAATTATCATACTGTCCACATCATTGGGTTATTGTGAAGTTATTAGGGAGATACTGTATGTGAAGCCTGGTGCCTTATGCAAGTACTAATGGTGTTTAGTAAATGCTGGTCATTTTCCATGCTGTGGGGCCTGATAGATCAGGAAAGAGGAGGAGGGAAAAAATAGATGGGCCAGTTCTTTTGCAGAAAAATAACCCGAAAGAACTGACAGTAGAACAAGACTTGCCTCTCAATGTTTTCAGTGTTGGCCACACCAAACCTGTTTCATTGTACTCTTTATGCTTACCTGTTAACAATTCATGAAAGACATGAGTGATATTTGAATTTCTGGATGCCACCAGAATTCTTAGAAATATTGAGATTCTGGTGGTATTCTCAACAAAAGTGAATCAAACCAATAACCTCAAGGAATCTCGAGGAATGTGGGGTTGAGGATTGGGTTGGCAGGATGTAAAAACCAATTGTGTTATGTTTCATCCCTCTTCTTGAGGTGGTTTTTGTATGTTAAAAAAAAATACTAAATAAAAAAAGAAGTAGCCAATTATACCCTTACCTTATATTGCTTTTTAAACAGACGAAGATGAAGATGGTGATCGAATTACAGTGAGAAGTGATGAAGAAATGAAGGCCATGCTCTCATATGTAAGTATATTGCAAATGAGGACTGTTTTCAAAATGTTAATGTGATTGAAAATGCTGTTTCTTGGCAGAGTGAAGATTTACACGTAAATCACAGATGTCATAACATTTTCCTGTATAAGGTTCTCAGAAATGTCCTCACGTGAAAGTTAAGGGCATTCTTTTCAGAAGACACTCACTGATCATATCATGAACATTAAGAATAATGCATCTTAATGACTTTTGCATTAGGTATGGCGCAGACTAAATGGACTATCAATTTCCTGTATTTTTTATGCAGTACTTAAAGTAACGGCTCATTAAAAATGAACCCCTGGGCTCTAAAAAATTTTTCAAAATCTACTTTCAACTGGAGCTCTCTTTCACCCTTCCAGATAGACTCTAGTTTTAATGTAGCTTCAGGCTTAATATGGATACATGATTTAAAGATGTACTCCCCGCGATTTTATGCACTAAACCACCTCCCATCCCCCACCCCCAAATGAACTATAGGGTTACTTACTGAATCAAAGTGATTTGAATATAGCCCGAAATGACTTTTCTTTTGTGTTTCAAATTTCAGTGAAAATTTGCATTAACATTTGTCTCTGAAATGGAAGGAGGGAAACCAGATAAAAAGGGCACGTTTCTGAAAACTTTTCTTACTAAGTCGGACAATTTCAGCTAGGATATGGAGAAGGCGCTTCCCGGAGTTAAGTCCCAAATTATGTGGGTTTTTAATTTTTGGTTTTATTTTTATTTTGTCAGAGGTGTAATTTGTTCATGGAGCCTCCTCCAGTGGCCTGGCAGAAAATGTTGGACTGGGAGTGAGGAAACCTCTGCCCTCCTCAGGCTGCCTGGCCTTAGGCAAATCACTTAACCTTTTGGTGCTGTATTTGCCTCATCTGTCAATGGTGGATAATAACACTTGTCCCTTGTATGGCGCAGGGTCATTGTAATGATCAAACCGTATAATGTGGAAGCCCTTTGAAAAGTTGAAAGTTCTATACAAATGCAAAATGGTATTATTGGAGGAAATGATGGAATCGGGGCCCTTTGCTTTTCCTTGGCCACACTAATCTTAGCTAACAGTTAGGGTGCAGGTTTTGAAGGGCTTCAGCGTCTGCCAGGATATTGTTTCACTGTAATGAAAACTGTAAAATATCTGTATGGGATTCCGCCAATAGTTTTAATTTAGGGTAGGAAGAAAGAGAACAAGAAGGATGGCATGATTAACAGAGCATTGCATTCAGACCAGCGCTGAGTAGGAAAAGTCAATTTCCCATTGACTTCCCATTAACTTATTTGAGAGTTTCTGTGCACTGAGAATTTAGAGCAGGCCTCAGCTCATCAGTACCTTGAAAGGCGGAGTAGGATTGTCTGCTGAAAGGTCTGGCACTGGTATTGATAGATTGGCTAGCTCTCCTGAGAATGGGACATGCTTATTTTTAGAAAACACACATACACAGATAGGCTCTAGTTTTTTCTTTTTTTTTTTCAACTATATCCACTGCAGAGAGCTGACACCAGTGTGCTTGTATTCTGCCTCTGACATGACCACACAAAAATGTATTTTCAAGAATATTCTTTTGATGAATTGCACTTTTTGAGGAATGTTACTTCATGAGATCATAGTAAGAGCCACCATCATTTCTGTGTCTGAGCACCTACAGGTGCTTTAGGTAGTTAATTTGCTTAGGTCTCTGAAAATCCTTCTTTGGGGGAGATATCACAGTTCCTAGTTTTTGAATGTAAGAGCAAGGTCTTAAATTTACCTTTATATGCTTCTTCACTGCTAGACACTCATCCCTTCCTCTGTATCTCTTTGAACATTAATGTTGGGATCTTTCTGTGTCTTCACAATGATTAAATTTGGAATGATTTGTTTTATTTAAACTTTTGTTGAGATAATTCTATCATGTATTCCTTATGACATATTTTCTCAAATGCAGTGTTTATTTTTGTGTTATAGGAAAATATTAGTGTTATGTCATTGTCATTAAACTTACAATGTTCTTCAGTTTCTTGAGAACTACCCAAATATTTGTATTTCATGAGCTACTATTATGTTAATTTTTAGATTGATTGAAGAACCAATATAGTCTTAATACATTTTTTGGTTTGTTTTGTCTTTTGTGGCCACAATGAGTGGTACTCACAGGTTCCTGCTGGCTCTATGATCAGGGATCACTCTTGGTGGGCTTGAGGGACCATATGGGATGTTGCAGATTAAACCTAGGTTCGGCTGCATTCAAGGCAAGTGCCTTACCTGCTGTACTATGGGTCAGACCCCAGTCATAATTGCTTTTAGTTTTGCCAAACAAAAACTAATGAAACAAAGAAACAAATAAAAATTACCTGCTCTTAGCCGTAGTTTCCCCTGCTAGTCAGAGTAGAACATATCAATTTGATATGATTTCATAGATTGTTTGGGCATTATTAACATGAATTTATAATAGAGAAAATTTTGACCATTCCCAAATCAAACCTAACAGGGAGAATTTACATTTGGGCAATAGAGGAAACCTTTATTTTATAAACAAAACAGTCGTAGCCTTTTAAAGAGTGAAGCTGGGGAGCAGAGAGACACTGTAGGGGGGAGGACACATGCCTTGCTTGCAGCCGACCTGGGTTTGATCCCTGACGTCCTCTACCGTCCCCAAGCACAGAGCCGGGAGCAACTCTGAGCACTGCTTTAGGGGTCAGATAAAACTAGAGGCACTTCAGCACAAATCCCTTTTTTATGATTTCCCATCTATTCCAAAGGTTAATAAAGAGCCTACATCTTTGCATAAAATTGTTTCAAAACTTGCAACATTCTGAGTTGGAACTCGCAGAATTAATTTTAACCCCCTTGGATGCAAGTATTTTTCTGGCATTGGGCCAATGGAAGCAAAAGTTTTTATCAGTAATTTAAATAGATTTCTGTATTAAACCTGAGAGTGTTGCCTTTTTAATTGAAAACTTATCAATTATTTAAATTGCTCACAGCCTTGGATTGTTAATTTTATGTGTGTCATAATAATGGCATACGGTAGGTAGTTTTGGATGCATGGGACACGTGGAATATTGCACTCCGGTAAGGATTTGTCATGACAATAAGTTGTTGTGTGCTGTTAAATAATAACCAGCATATTAAACCAAACTCTGTTTCACACATTAGTACCATTTTATGTAAGTTATTTAGAAGTTGGATTCTTTTCTTCATTAGATATATTTTTAAGAGATAATGAGAAGAAAACAAAGCCATAATAAATTGTCTTTTAAGAAAATGTAAAGTAATTTGGTCTCCAAGGAGATATTTAATGTATTGCAAGAGAATTCGGCAGCCAAGTGTTATTACAGCAGCACTGTGATAGCTCCCTGCGTTTTGTTATGAGTTTGTGTTAATCAACAATCTGTTTTTATGGCGTAGTTTCTTGTAAGTTATGTTCTTAGGATATTCCACTTCTGGGATCACGGCTTTTCCTCTGACACTATTGTATCTTTTTAATTTCGCCATAAAGTATTTTTTTAATTAGAATTTGAAATGCTTTATTAGAAAAAAAATACACCCAGTCTACATATTCTCAAAACGAAATACCTGATCATTGCTAATTATTTAAAGGGCCCTGATAAACATTCCCTTCATGTAGCTTATATTTTTTTGGGGGGCGGGGGGGGATTCTTGTCCCCCCACCCACCCTTCGCTCCACCACCCATATTCCAGAGAGGTTAAAGATTGCAGGCTCCTTTTCTCTGTCCATCTTTTTGTATTTGCTGTTAGACTGAATTCATTTTCTTAGCCAACAGAGCTGGGTCTCGTTTATTGATTCATCACAAGCTGTATCTATCATTGAGACCCAGTTATAAGAGGGGGTTATTTTAATGTTAACCCCTGCTTTTGAGTGACCTTTCATTAAGAAACTCAGCAGTACATCTGCTTTTATAAATGGATTCATATTTGCTTCTGCTAAATCTCTTGTCTCGTACAGAATTTATTATACTTCGTTCCTTCAATACCGAGAAGCTTGCATGAGTGGAACACAGTATTAACAAGAATAATTTTTTTCATTTTGCCCGTCCTTTTCTTCATAACATTTTTCCGTATTGTCAGAAGAGGATGGGATGAATTTAGCTGCAGCGTCTCCTGTTATGGCAGAAGCCTTGTTTTCAGTGGCGTCTAAGTATTCCCTTTGGTATACTTGACCAAAGTGTGCCTTGTTAGATGGTGGGGACCAAGAGGGGAAAAAGCATTTTTGACCTCTGTAGCACCTTGGAAAATGAGATTTGCTTGCGTCATATGCAGAAATTGGAGATTGCCTTGGAAATCATCCAGTTATGTAATTCGAGTTGGAAGGGAGCCTTGGAGACTTTTATTTTATTTAATTTTATTTCTTTATGTTTTTGGTTTGGGGGGGGGAGTCATACCTGGTGATGCTCAAGGCTTAGTCCTGACTCTGCACTCAGGGAGCCTTTGTAACTTCGTTTTATTTAATTCAATTTTATTTCTTTATGTAGTTTTGGTTTGGAGGCCACACCTGGAGGTGCTCAGGGGTTACTCCATGCTCTTTACTCAGGGATTGCTCCTGTCAGGGCTCAAACCCAGGTAGTCTGTGTGTGCAAGGCAAGAGCCCGACCTGCTGTACTGTAGCTCCAGCCCTGTTTTATTTCATAGGTAAGGAAATTGAGGTACAGGATCAGACTAGGTTAGTGATCATGTTGTTGATGAGGAAGGGGCCATGATGGACATATTCCAGGTCTTCTGGTGCTTATTGCTTCACTCCTCCAGGTTTGACACGATGCTTCTGTTTTGGCACCTCTTGAGGTCCTCCTGAGAACATTATTTATTCATTTAAAATTAAAAAAAATACTATTTTATCTTTTGGACACAACCTGACTATGCTCAGAGCTTACTCCTGGCTCTGTGCTCAGGGATCACTCTTGTAGGCCTGGGGGACCATATAGGGTGCCAGGGATCGAATCTGGGTTGGCCACATGCAAGGCAAGTGCCCCACCTGTTGTGCTGTCCCTCTGTCCCTGAG